CTGTGGGCGAAGAAGAGGCTGCAGCTGTGTCCTCAACAAGCTCTTAGTTTGTGTCCCAGCTGGTTCCTCAAGTCCTGCCTGTGCCCTGGACCCAGCCAGAGTGCCCTCAGGCAACCTCAGGGGTTAAACTCCACAGGGGGCAGGAGGCAGGATCAGGGGGACACCAGCTGGCCTCCACTGTTTTTTGGGTGCTGAAGCCCATAGTGTTGTTTTATTTCACTTCATTATTTATGCTGCATATATGTCTGCATCAGGAAACAATCTGGACAATTTGCCAAATGGATCCAGGATTGCATTTAAAAAAAATTTTTTTTTTTTTAATACTCAGCTCTTGTGTGATTTTGTAACAACTGAGAGCTGCCTGTTGAGCACTAGACTAGCCCTGAGATCTGGGCACTCCAGTCCTTGATGAGCAGTCCCTTTAATATTCTTGGTGTCTTTACCCTGGGGAAAGAGCCCCTGCCTCCTGGAGTGGATAAGAGGACAAGGTGGTGATGGAAGTGGCGTGATGGTCATGGTGATGATTGTGGTGGTGGCGGGGTGGTGGTGGTACTGATGATGGTCATAGTGATGGTGATGGTGGTGGTGGTGGTGATAGTGATGGTGATGGGGATAGTGATGACGATGATGGTGGTGGTAAGAACCATGATGATAAACATAGCAAACACTTAATATGACCATTAGTAGTAAATACTATGGACCGCTTTGTCCACTTCCTCATTTCTATATATATATTGACTCCTTTAATCTCCACAACAACACTATGAGGTAGACACTGTTACTGTTCCTGTTTTACAGAGGAACAAAATCCTACAGCTGTAAGTGACAGAGCAAGGATTCAACACCAGCTGCTCACACAAAGTCATGGCACAGACTGAGAGAACGCAGGCGCCATCTGCAGCCCTGTCCAGGCAGAGGGAACCTGCACAGCGTCAGACACTTGAGACAGCCACTGGCTACAAGTGTTTGTGGGTGCAGCTTGCGCCTCCCTAGAGAAGCATCACAGGGCCCTTTCCTGCCTGTCTGCCTGCCTTCGACGCCCACCAGTACCCTTCTCGAGCATGCCCTTGACAGACCCCCCATCTCCACAACCAAGTGTTGACTGTTTCCACGACCCTGGGCACCTCTGATGTCAGTGTCCATCTGGTCCATCCGGCTGAGGCTACCCAGTCCTCCAAGCCTGGGATGGGACAGCTCATGGACCTCAACACTTACTCAAAACTCATGTCCTGGGCTCACCTGTCCACCTGTAGCAGGTATCTGCATGGCACCGTGGAGGCATTTCTCAATGTTCGTATCTTATGTGACTGGATTTTGTCCAGAAAGCATAGCTTACACTGTCAGGAAATTACAGAACTTACGACTCCAACGTGGTTCTTCTCAACCCTGGGCTTGAAGGCTGATCCACTTGAAAACAGGCATCTTGGTGCTAAAAGATGGAAGTATAGTTAGGATTTGATGTTTCTATTCAAGTTTGGGAATTTAGAACAGACTTGATTCTGAAGCGGCTGGTGCCGAGGCAATGTCCGGAGCAGATGTGTTCTTCTCACAGAGGCTGCTGAACGGCTGATGAGATGGGCGGGGGGAGTGTCCCCTCTGAGCATATCTGGGCCCCCCAGAGAACACAGCTGGTGCTGCTGCAGGGGCGAGAGAGCTCTGTCACTCTTCCACTGTTTTAGAAACCATCAACCTTTCAGAACTTCAGATGGCATCATAGGCCTTTGCCCAAGAGTCTTATTCCCAGTGTTTTCCTTAGCAAAGTTAGCATGACTTGTTTTCCCTAACAAATCTTAATTCTGTGGCTCAAAAGAGTTGGGTTCTTGTAGATTATGAGAAGCAAAAAACAAAGTTTGGGAACTGTACGCCTGTTCTCAGACGTACTGGCACCCCGAGATTGCGGAGTCTCTGTCCCCCTCAATCCCTTGGTATTGCTGTTCCCCTGGACCGTGGCACAGTGGGCCCCCGGCAGGCTGTGACTTCGGCTTGCACTTGACAAGGTTGCTGAAGGTACCAGCTGAACTTCAAAACCATTAAATGACATGGTGAGGAAGTGGTTTCATTTCCTTTCTGTTGTAGTTGTAAAACTGAGAAAGCCTCTCTGGGCCTGGCGTGTCCTTAACACGCTGACACTTGTTAATTTTCCCCTTTGAACCTAAGAGCAGTTGCAGGCAACTGCATCGGCCGAAGCAGGAGCTACCAGGTTGTCCTATGTCAGCTTCACAGCCATATCCTGCTTTTGGTAGACAGTCTTGGCTTTCATTTGCCATCGTCCCCTTTGTAACTTGGTGTGTGTTTATGTGAATACTTAGTCTAAGTACTCAAGTGATGCAGGTCCAGGGGTCACGCCTGGAAAATGTTCGTCAGGTGCATGGCACCTGGGAAGCTTATGGGCGTTAACATCTCCTGCGCCTTTACACACACCCGTTGGTCAGACTCTGCCCGTGCAACCTGAGCACCAGCCTTTGACTGAAATATCCCAGGAGTTTCCACTGCATAGCTGAGTTGGAGAAGCCCTGCAATGGCATCCTTGGGGTCCAGCCAAGGACCTGTCGTCACCCACCTGAGACCCACACCTGGATTGCGTTTCCCTTCTCTCTCTACCTCTCTCCTCATCCACTCCCCGAGCCCCTGCTCCCCATCTGCCCTGTGCCGACTCCTGCTTGTGAGACCCTCCAGCACTGCTTCTGAGTTCTAAGACGTTGCTGGCACCACACGCAGTTGCAGGCGGCTAGACATTTCCACAGCGTACATTTCTTCGCAGCATTCCGTTGGCAGTTCATAAGCTGTTAGTCCAGTTTCTGAACATCCTCCAGTAACGTGTTAGCGGCAATTATAGCGGTCATTATTGGCTGTGCCTGCCTTTGTTTTAAAAACCTCCTGTGTGTGGACCCATCTGATCCCCCACAACCCTAAGAGAGAGTTACAGTTTTACAGATGAAGAAACCAAGACACAGGGAGGTTAAATATCTCACCTGGGGTCATACTATCACAGATTGGCAGGGCCAGATTTCAAATGCAGGCAGCCTGGCCCGGAACCCACTTTCAAAGCAGACGGGTGCCTTCTCCCAGTCCTGACCCAGGTGTTCCCGGCCCGCCACGGCCGCGCCAGGCCGGCTGTTTGCTGCTGCCATCAGAAATTGAAATCTGGCCCCTCTGCCTGCTTCAGTGACCTCTGGAATTGATCATTCTTTTTATTTTCAACTTAAATGATGGCATTACGGCTTGAAGCCCACAGTTTAAATCCCATCAAGATTGAACTCATCACCGTTCCCAAGAGGTCAGCCTGAGACGATTGTGTGTGCAGGCTGCCAGGACTGGAAATCGAGGCTGGAGGAGCCAGTGCCCAGGCTCGTCAGCAGCCTCGATGCTGCTTCATTAGCATGCCTGGAATGTGGCCTCGGTGTTAGACATTCCGGGTTTTTGTTTTTGTTTTTTTTCTGCCTTTTCAAAAGTATCTGATTCCTGATGGCAGGCACATGGATGACTTGGTGATTGGAAACCCATGGGGATTATAATTGAGATGAAAAAAAAGTACAAAATGATGTAAAAATAAACTATTATATAAAAAAGAAAGAAACACTGTAAAATGAGGGATTGCTTGATGTGAAGAAAAAAAAAGGTATCTGACTCCCATCCCAGTGCTTAATTGGAGAGAGACCTTAGGCCCTTCCCCATTCCTTGTGGTTGAGCATTTTTTTTTTTTTAAGGATTTTTTTTTTTATTTGTGCATACAGAACTGGGGTACAGGCCAGAGGCTCAGGGGCGGCGAGAGGCTTCACCAGAGACAGAGCAGGGAACAGAACAGGCAGATCAACGAAGTACACTGCTGAGGGGAGCAGCGGGCGGGTCAGGAGAGGTCTGCCACGCCATGTGGTCACCTCCGGGGCAGGCGGGAATCGAACTCATGCGGAAGCGGCTTTTGATTCTCAGTGCTGTGCTTTAACCCGCTGCACCACCAGGGAGGGCCACGGTTGAGCATTTTTATGCTCAAGTTTTTCATTTGATGGAACTGTCGCGGCATTCAGAACCTGCAGGAGCTTGCCAAGGTTCTCAGGTGGCCGGGCCCTGGAGACCTCCTACCTCACTGAAGAGTCTGAAATTGCGGGGGTACAGGGGGTGAGTCCCCAAAACTGCCGGGCCCATATAGAGCTCTCATATCATGTTAGTTTGTTGTTTTTTTCCCCCCTGCTTTTTGCAAGCTGCGAATAGTAGAATGCACTTTCCAGACATCACTCCATTTACTCTCCCAGTGGCGCATTCCACTGAAGTAAATCCCGCTCATTTTCCTAAATGAAGAGACAGGCCCACGGACCCAGGGTCGGGGCTTGGGCTCCATGGTAGAGGAGGCAGGGTCTGAAAGCAGGTGGCCGAGCTGTCTGGTGGGTTGCTAGGCTGCGTGTTCAGGTCGTCCACTCCCAGCTGCAGGCGGTAGAAGAATCCTTGGGAAGCAGAAATGGAGCACGGGACCGGGAGTGTGGCCCCCTGCGGCGGGTGGACTGACCAGCACCCCGCTCGGACCACTGCGGTGGTTCCGTCTGTCACCGTCTGCCTGCAGCTTCCAGGCGGGGTCTGTAGGCGTTGACCTGCATGCCGCAGAATTCTGACTGTGGGTCCTCATCCATGCGCTTAAGATTCACACACACAGAGCTGGAAAAGGGCCACAGACCCAGGAACCCCACGAAATGCAGGTTCTACTTGAGCAGTTCTGAGCTGGGACCCCGGTTTCTGCATTTCTAACAGGCATCTGGGTGTCCCGGCAACACTGAGACTCAAGCGTGGACTGCCAGGGGCCCCCACAGTGTGGGTTATCTCTGCAAGGGAGGCCATGCAGAGATATCGCCCTTCTCAAGCTGAGGGTCAGAGGCTCTGGGTCCTCACCGCCTTTACCCTTAAACGCCGTCTTAAGGTTTCTCTCCTCCAGCTTGGTATTGAAGAGGACCCTGGGCGTTACTGGTCAGTTTTCTTGTAACGTATGTTCTCTCTTCCTTCTCTCTTCACAGTCCGAGATGCAAAAAATCTAATCCCTATGGATCCAAATGGGCTTTCAGATCCGTATGTGAAGCTGAAACTTATTCCTGATCCCAAGAATGAAAGTAAACAGAAAACCAAAACCATCCGCTCCACACTCAACCCCCAGTGGAATGAGTCTTTTACATTGTAAGTGTGACTCTTCCTCCTCTTCTTGACCAGACCCTTTCCCTGCACACACAGGACCACCCCCCACATTGTTAGCGACATCGGGCTGGGCTAGAAACCCTGAAGCAACTGCCTCTTTTGTGACCACCCCAGATTGCTGCTCGGGAGGTGATGTTTTACCACCTGTGAGATGGACATGACTGTCCATCCTAGCTGACCAACACTACATTATACCAGCCCCGGTGAATATCAAAACCTACTCTGAACAAAAATGATGCTAAGATGATATAAAAATGTATACAATCTGTCCCACCTTTTGGTGGGGGCTTTCAAAGGTTCAAGAAAGGAATGACATAAAAATTGTAAAAATTTAAATAATTTTTTAAAAGATTTATTTATGCGTACAGAACTGGGGTACAGGCGAGAGGTGTGATGAGTAA